TCCCTCTGCCTGTGTCTCTGCCTCTCTCTCTCTCTCTCTCTCTCTCTCTCTCTCTCTCTCTCTCTGTGACTATCATAAATAATAAATAAAAATTAAAAAAAAACTCATGGTGATTATGTTCACAAAGCAGGAAGAATGAAATAGCCTATTTATTTTTAATATTGACCCATAGCTAAAGATAATGTACAGTTTTGCATATGTCCTTATAATCATGATCATAAGGGACAGCAAGAAATAAGACTTTCAAGGAACAGAACCTGAGGAAGGACATGTTATTGTTCTGTTCAATCTTAGAGCTTCTCTTAAAGCTGACAGTGGAAAGTCCCATTGACGCGAAGCACTTCAGCTTCCATTTCTCTAGTTTCCTTTATAAAAAGAAGTTAAGCCTCTCCTGCTCAACTACAGAAACATTTTAAGTTAGGTAAGGTTTTCCATTTCTTCTGCCACCTCCCTGCTCAAGCTGTGATCATTGTGTGCCTTGAACTGTGGCAATAACCTCATTCTGTGTGTGTGTGTGTGTGTGTGTGTGTGTGTGTACTCCTAACTGATCCTATTGGCAAACCCCTTTGGTCCAGCCTACATATCACTGCTGGTTTAACCCTCCCTGACACTTCAATGGGCTTATTCTCCTTTTTGGAAATCTTTTCCATTTTCTAGAGAAGAAAGCTGAAATTCAGACTAGCATAAAGTACTTTCTATGATTTAGTTCCAACTTAAATTTTTCAACAGTTTTTTTCTTTATTCTGGTATACCAAAGTCCCTACACCAGCCAAATATTTCTTCCCTCTGTTTTCTCAAAAACTTTCATTAAGTTAATCACTATAATTATTATGAACAAATAATTATTTGCACCTTCATTACCATAGGCTTCCTGGCTTGAGTCTGTGCTTAGCTATTTTCTGGACTCTTAGCTCCTTTTTCTACCCTTGCTTTAAAAAAAAAAAAAGGCATAGGTTAAAATCCTACCTTCATTTCTCTTTAACTTCCACTTACCTCTCCCTCTAGTGATCTCCCTGTCCTGTGGACTCCTGGTTTTAAGTGCACTCTTAGTATGGGGGTATATCCCTTCCTGGTTGTGTTTTCTGTATATGCAAACTTATGTAGTGTCCACCTCAAGTTGGAATCTTACCAATTAAATGATTTTTTAAAATTATTCTTCTACTTAACATATTATGAACATTTTCATGTCATTAAATATTTTTGAACTGTGATTTTTAATGGTTTCATAGGTAATTTACATTACATTCCACATTGTATTAAGGCATTTGCACATAGTTGGACATTTAGAGTGTTGTCATTTTTTATATAATATATAATGCCCTGAACATTCTTACTTACCTCTAATTATGTATTTGAGATAAATTTCTAAGAATGGGCTTATTGAGAATGGCTTTTCTCGATTCTTGATCTGCATTTCCAAATTTCTTCCAGATGGGTTATGCCAGTTTTTTTTCACATGTCAGTAGTGTTCGAACATGCCTCTTTTATCACTGTCTCATTGGCATGAAGAGTTGTAATTTGCTTATATGAAATTTTGTGAGGGCAGCCCAGGTGGCTCAGCGGTTTAGCGCTGCCTTCAGCCCAGAATGTGGTCCTGGAGACCCGGGATCAAGTCCCACATCAGGTTCCCTGCATGGAGCCTGCTTCTGCCTCTGCCTGTGTCTCTGCCTCTGTGTGTGTGTGTGTCTCTCATGAATAAATAAATAAAATCTTTAAAAAAAAAAGAAATTTTGTGATTTTGTGTTTGTGAATAGATAGGTAAAACCTATCTCATTGTAGGTTTACATGTTCTATTTATAAGGCCTTTATCAGATGGGTGTTTGCAAGTGTTTTCTCCGGGGCCACAGCCTGTCTTTTCATCACTTTCTTAACAGTGTCTTTCTAAAAGCAGAAGCTCTTAATTTTTTTATTGAAGTATTGTTGACATACAATGTTACATTAGTTTCTAGTGTACAGCATAGTGATTCCACAAATTTAGACATTATGCTCACAAGTGTAGATGCCATCTGTCACTGTACAGCACTATTACAGTATCATAGATTATATTCCCTCTGTTGTACTTTTCATCCCCATGACTTATTCATTCCATAGCTGGAAGTCTGTGGCTCTCACTCCCTTCACCCATTTTGCTCATCCCCCTAGCTCCGCCCCTCTGGCAATCATCAGCTTGTTCTCTGTATTTGTGGGTCTGGTTCTCCTTTTTATTTGTTTTGTTTTGTCTTTCGTATTCCACATACAAGTGAAATCATAGGGTATTTGTCTTTCTCAGTCTGACTTACATTACTTAGCATAATACTCTCTAGGTCCATCCATATTGTTGCAAGTGGCAGTATTTCATTCTCTTTGATGGCTGAGTAATATTCCATTGTATATGTATATACCACATCTTCTATATCCATTCATCTATGGGTGGACACTTATTCAAGCTTCCATATCTTGGTGGCTTCATCGATTTTTTTTCCCCACCAACAGTACATGAGGGTTCCCTTTTGTACACGTCCTCACCAACACTTGTTATTTCTTATCTATTTTATTCTGGTCATTTGACACATTTAAGGTAATATTTTATAGTGGTTTTGATTTGCATTTTCTTGATGATGGTGATATTGAGCATCTTTTCATGTGTCTGTTTGCCATCTGTTTGTTCTCTTCAGAAAAAAAAAGTCTGGATCCTCTGTCCATTTTTAATTGGATTATTTTGGGGTTGAGTTGTGCAAGTTCTTAAAATATATTTTGCATATTAACTCCTTTTAAGTTATGTCACTTGCAAATATCTTCTCCCATTCAGTAGGTTGCCTTTTCATTCTGTGGATGGTTTCCTTCACTCTACAAAAGCTTTTTATTTTGGTTTAGTCTCACTAGTTTATTTTTGCTTTTGTTTCCCTTGCCTGGGGAGACATATTTAGAAAAATGTTGCTATGGCCTATGTAAGAGAAATTACTGCCTGTGTTTTCTTCTAAAAGGTTTATGTCTCATATTTAGGTATCTTTAATCTAATTTGAGTTTATTTTTGTGTGAGAAAGCATAAGAAAGTTGTCCTGTTTCATTCTTTTGCATGTAGCAGTCCAGTTTTCCCACCACCAACATCATTTATTGAAGAGACTGTCTTTTTGCCATTTTGTATTCTTACCTTCCTTGTCCTTGATTAATTGACCATTTATGCATGGTTTATTTCTGGGTTCTCTAGTCTGTTCCATTGATCTATGTATCTATTTTTGTGCCACTACCAAACTGTTTTGACTAGTAGAGATTTGTAGTTTATCTTCAAATCTGAGATTGTGAAAGCTTCAGTTTTATTCTTCTTTTTCAAGAATGCTTTGGCCACTCAGGGTCTTTTGAGGCTCCATACAAATTTTAGTATCTAGTTCTGTGAAAAATGCTGTTGGTATTTGGATAAGAGTTGCATTGAATCTATAGATTACCTTGGGTAATATGGAAGTTGTAACAATATTAATTCTTCCATTCCATGAAGATGAAATATCTTTCCTTTGTATCTTCTGCAATTTCTTTTGTCAATGTCATAATAGTTATCAGAGTTCAGGTCTTTTACTTCTTCGTTAAATTTATTCCTAGGTATTTTATTCTGTTTGGTGCAATTGTAAATGGAATTGTTTTTGTAATTTCTCATTCTGCTACTTTGTTATTAGGGTAAAGAAATGCAACTGATTTCTGTGTATTTTGTATCCTGTAACTTTACTGAATTCATTTATTGTTTCTAATAGTTTTTTGATAGACATGGCACTATATATATATTATGTCATCTGCAAATAGTGACAGCTTTATTTCTTCCCTATCAATTTGGATGCCTTTTATTTCTATTCTATTACCTGTTTGCTGTGACTAGGATTTGCAGTACTGTGTTGAAAAGTGGTAACAGTGGACATCTTTGCCTTGTTCCTGATCTTAAAGGAAAAGCTCTCAGTTTTTCTCCATTGAGTATGATGTTATCTGTATGTTTTTCATGTATGGCCTTTATTATGTTGAGGTTTGTTCCATCTAAACCCACTTTATTGAGCATTTTTATCATAAATGATGTTAATTTTGTCAAATGCTTTTTCTGCATCTATTAAGATGATCACATGACTCTTTCCTTCATTTGGTTAATGTGGTATATCATGTTGATTGATTTGTGAATATTGAACCATCCTTTCATCCCCAGAACATAAACATTTAATCAGATTGTCATGGAGGTTGCTCTTGGTATGTCACCTAAGAAATCCTTGGCTAGCCCAGAGTCACAAAGATTTTCTACTGTTTTCTTCAGAAGTTTTATAGTTTTAAGTAGGATTTTTTTAGTTAATTTTTGCACATGGCATGAGATATCAATTGGGGTTTATTTTCTGATGATAATTAATAAAAGATCACAAATCTTTCCAGCTTAAGGAAATTAAAATAACTCATCTATCAAAGATATATTTATTGTTTAAAAAAGACCAAACCAGGAGTTTGCCTTTAAGGTGATACACAGGAAATTATTGCTACTGGTCTATGTCTTGACTCTAATTTGGGGCATACCTCAGATGAGTAGATAAATTATTACTGGCAGAAAAGCATACATTATATTACCATTTAGGTTATTTGGGAGCTAGATTTATTTGTTTCAGCTAAACAACTAATGTAATTGTGTTAATACATTTATTTATACAACAAACATTTTTGAGACTTAAGGAGTACAAGGCACTGTACTTCTTGGACAGCATGGGAAAAATAATTTCTCTGTGGTCCATGAGTAACCTGTATGCAATTAACATCTGACTTCTAGAATGAAAGGAAGTTGAAGTAATTAACTTTCTTGAACCACAAAATTCTAATGTAAGGACATCGTCAGCATTAAGAGATTTGGGCCCTTAGGAATATACTAATAAAGATTATTAAAGGAAAAGATGTGATAAATAAGAAGACTTTGTGGTGACTATAGCTTGGAGTTATTTGTGAAATGAAAAGTTTCTCACTAATTGGCAGGCCACCAAAGCCTTCTTATCACCTGTTTTTCTCTGTAGGTCATCAGCTCCATGAGCTCCCTTTCTGAGTACTGCCTGCCTTCCATTCTACGTACATTATTTGACTGGTATAAAAGGCAAAATGGCATCGAGGATGAATCACATGAATACAGACCACGAACAAGCAATAAATCAAAAAGGTACATTTCTTTTGTGTAGGAATATGAGATTGGTTCATCCTTCCCCATCTCCTTTTTTTCTTTCTTTCTTTCTTTCTTTCTTTCTTTCTTTCTTTCTTTCTTTCTTTCTTTCTTCTTTCTGGAACATAAGTCAAAATGGGATTTATGCATTATCTACATCTGCCTGTCTGCACATAGATACCTGGCAGGTGCTGTGGGGGGCCCCCTGTCTAGAGTGGGAGTATTAGTCACTGCCAGTTGTCACAGGTTGAAGACATCCTCAGCCTTATTCTGACATTGGGGCATGTGTAAAGTACCCCACGTTGCCCTCCTGCCTGCTTCTTTCCTGAGCCCTGTCTCTTCCAGTGGATACTTAAAAGCAGAAGGGCTGTTGCAGGCCCTGCAGGACGCTGCCCAGTCCTTGTTAGTCACCTTCAGTGCTCAGTGTGCTGTTGTGGGGAAGAGGCTGGGGGGACATCAGTGGTAGGCCTGGGGCCACCAATTAGCGCTGTGACTTTGGACAACTCACCACCTCTGTGTGACTTGTCTTTTCAAGAGCAAAACAGGGAAGTCAGATTACACCATCTTGAACTTCGCCTGAGGCTGAGAGTTTTGTTTATTTATTTTGTGATCCCCTTCTCTTATGGATTTGAAAAGTAGAACTCACTGCTACAGAAACACTTTAGCAACTGTAAAATTTAAGATTCTTACACTGTCAAATGAGTGTGCACCCCCCAAAAGTTTATATAAATAAATATATATATAGTTCATATGTTTGAAATATAAGTAAATAGAAAAAAAAATATTTGCCCATAGTTACTTTTTTTAAAAAAGGCTATTTTAAAAGCAGACTTCTCTATATGAATTGATTATGCATTTTTAAAGGCAGTAAACTAAAATGGATCATTCAGAACATCAGATATTAACTACTTCTTGTGAGTGATTTATCTCATTTTTCTTGATACTTCAATATTATTTTAATATCCACTTTTTACTGTCATGAAATGAGTTATATTTCATCCAAACTTGTAATTTCATTTTATAATATGCTTGAATTTATGCAAGATTTAATCATTTATTTATCATTTGGGAGAGAAATTAATAACCTTTTCATATTGAATCATTTTTTTAGTTGAAGAGAGGGAATTTTTTTATTGAAATATAATTTACACATGGCACAATTCATTCTTTTAAAGTGTTTAATTCTGTAGTTTTAGTATATCCATAAGGTTGTGCAGCCATCACCACTAATTCCAGAACATTTAATCATCAAAGTTAAAATCTCAATTCTGTGTCTAAAAGTGGTTCAGACTGTATGATTAATAAATTCATGGTATCAGGTGTGATACCATTGAGTGGCTCAGTTGGTTAAGCATCTGACTTTGTCTCAGGGTCCTGGGATCCAGCCATGTCTGGCTTCTTGCTCAGTGAGGCGTCTCCTTCTCCTTCCCCTCCTGCCTCCCCCACTGCTTATGCTCTCTCTCTCTCCCTCTCAAATAAACAAATAATATCTTTAAAAAAATAAATTAACTAATTAATTAATGGCATCACTTTATTATTCTTCTAATTACATGTTAGTTTATAAACAGATATTAAACATTTCCTTGGGGAAGTGAGGAGGAATGGGACAGTTTTAGTAAGTTGAATTAAGTGGGTCTTAATTTTGTTTCTCTGTTTTGTCAGAATGTAGTTAATAAAACTAGATTTTTCATGAATTTATTTCTGTATGGATTGAAAATAATATTTTAAAAATCATGTTACTGATCATTTTCAGGAGATAAGAGTAATTGCCAAGATCAAATACAGCATCAGGACAGTGAAATTCAACTCAGCAGCATTTAATTAGCATTTGGAAGTTCAAAATAAGAATGTGTGTTTGGGTGAAAGCCAAAAGAATGAGGGTGTCTAGAACATGATGTAGGTGATAATGCGAGTTTCTGTTACTAGAAAAAAAGAAGAGGAACTTTAGAGAGAAGCATAAGCAACCAAAAACAGTCAAATGTAACATATGTGTACTAGGGTTATGATTTCTAAGATTAGTATAATATCAACATTTTGACTGCCAAATAAATTTGTCAAATACTGCTGACTCCTGGCAGTTAGACCTCAAACCAGCAATAAAGTTGAATTCATTATTGGAAAATTATAGGTCTTACTTTATTGGAAAGCATAAATTGGCTTATTAGATAAAGTAGAATCAGGGATTAAAAGTTGTTTTCCCTGCCAGGAACTATTACTTTTTCAAAGTCTTCTTGAGAGGACCCCTGTTGGCCATCCAACACAATAATTTTCTGTCTCCTGCTGCTGGCCATCTTTGAAAGTTCTCCTTCCTTTCAGTCTTCAAACTTCTTATTGACTTATTCCATAATATAATCTCTAGGTCAGACTAATGAATGTTATCTTTTTTAATTCAATTCCATGTGTTTTCCTCTCCTCTAGCTGGAAGAAGTTCTTTCCAGTTCTAGTGGGTCTTCCAGGACTTAAGATAGATGGTTTGGGCCAGTGCTCTTCCTCCCAACAAGATTGTTCACAATGATCCTGAATGAATTCCTACCCTGTCCATATATTTCTCCTTGAGAGTTACAGCTGCAACCTCCCTTGTTAATCCATTCTTCATTCACCAGCCTTCATTCGACTTGCTCAAGGTTACAGAACTTCTTGACGGGTGAATAAGATGTGACATCACTTTTGGAAGAAGTATATTATTGCTAATAGTCTATTGGGGTACCTGGGTGGCTCAGTGGTTGAGTGTCTGCCTTCGACTCAGGTTATGATCCCGGAATCCTGGGATGGAGTCCCGCATTGGGCTCCCTGCAGGGATCCTTCTTCTCCCTCTGCCTATGTCTCTGCCTTTCTCTCTTTCTCATGAAATAAATAAAATCTTAAAAAAAAAAAAAAAAAAAAAAAAAGAAAAAGGTTACAGAACTTCTCCAGAAGTTCTTTTTTAGATCTTAAATATCACTTTCCTTTCTTCTCATTCCCTTTGACTAAAGGGAAAAACATTCTGTATTTAAAATATTCTTGGGGATCCCTGGGTGGTGCAGCGGTTTGGCGCCTGCCTTTGGCCCAGGGCGCGATCCTGGAGACCCGGGATCGAATCCCACGTCAGGCTCCCGGTGCATGGAGCCTGCTTCTCCCTCTGCCTGTGTCTCTGCCTCTCTCTCTCTCTGTGTGACTATCATAAATAAATAAAATAAAATAAATATAAAAAAAAATAAAATAAAATATTCTTGAATTATTTTGAAAACACTTGCCTGACAAGCCTATATTTGGTCATCCTTTCTCATGGCTTCTCCTTAATATGCAAGTATTTTTTTTAATATGCAAGTATTGAGCAATTACATGTTCAAGACTATGCTAAATATACTATGCACTCTATCTTATTTAATACTCAAGCAGACCTTTCTGTAATTACTATTATTATTCTCATTTTGTAGATGGAGCAATTAGTGGTCAATAGAAAAAGCATCATTTTGACTCAGTACTGTTGCACACCAAAGCCAACCTTCTTAGCCACAGTTCTGTGTTGGGATCTCAGCAATCATGTTATTTGTCTTTCTTGGTTCATTTCCAAATTAGCCCTCAGTATGTTAGAGAAGCAGCAACTGAGGGTTAGGGGTGGGGATGGGAGAGGGAGTAAACTAACATTTCTGTCCTTCTGACAGTGCTAATTCTGCTCCCTACCTTTTGAGTGAGTTCAAATGACTCCACTTTGCCTCTTCTACCTCTTCTTCCACTTGCTTTATAACCATTCTGCCTCCACTGCCCCTTCACTTCTTCATTCATCAATCTCAAGTGGCAGAAGGCCAAGAGGAAAGAGGCATGGAAACAGCAACAAAAATTGTTTCTAACCTTTCTCCACCCTCTGTAGTCCTGCTGTAGCTGATAATTGTATTCTGTCCTTTTTTTTTCCCCCTACATCGTGCAGCTTCTTTTATAAGGACTTTCTTAATATCCACCTCTAGTATGGCAGCCCTGCCCTGGTCTATATCCATTCTATAAATGATAGAATTCCAGAAAGTCATCTTAGAAAAGGACATGGAGGGGCACCTGGGTGGCTCAATCTGTTAAGCATCTGCCTTTGCCTCAGGTCATGATCCTGGAGTCCTGGGATTGAGCCCCACATTGGGATTCTGTTTCGCCCTTTGCCCCTTCCCCTGCTTGTGCACTCTCTCTCTCTCTTTCAAATAAGTAAATAAAATATTTATTAAAAAAAGGAAAGAAAGAAAGAAAGAAAAGTCTATGGAATGAGGTTGTAGATTCTCAAGTAGCCACTCAAGTTGACGTTATGGAAAAGTTGAAATTTGAAGTCAAATATTCTGATCTGATGTGAGTTCCCTACACCTCACTGATTATAAAAAGCGTTAGCATATGTTTACCACTGCAGTCTTGTAATAGCAGAAGTGGTGTGCAGTCCATTGGGAATGAGCCCTCGATGTCTGATGAATTGTATCACTCTGAAAATATCTTCAATGCCACTGAATGTGAATATTTTAAATTTTACAGTGACGAACAACAGCGAGATTATTTAATGGAAAGACGGGACCTCGCCATTGATTTTATTTTTTCCTTAGTATTAATAGAAGTTTTGAAACAGGTAGGTCAGTAATTTAATGTTTCTTTTAGATAAAATTTATCTGAAAACCACTTACATTTTAAAAATCTGTTTTAAGTTGTTCATGAATTCCAAATACTGGGTCATGTGAACTATGTTTATTGATTGCTAAAGGCCATATATAGTTTCTAGAAGTACTGTTACTGATTTGATCTTTAATATTCTCTTCCAAGTTAAGAGCCATCTAATTTTTTTTTCTTTTCAGATTCCACTTCATCCTGTAATAGACAGTCTAATACATGATGTTATTAATTTGGCTTTCAAGCACTTTAAGTACAAAGAAGGGTAAAGTAATTTCTCTCCTTAGAATTTTGAAGTTTGGTACTTGACTCTAAAACAAGTGCTACGGAGGGGGACACTTGACGGGATGAGCACTGGGTGTTATTCTGTATGTTGGTAAATTGAACACCAATAAAAATTAATTTATTAAAAAAAATAAAAATAAAAATAAAAAAAATAATAAAACAAGTGCTATTTTTGGATGACTGGGGATCTCTCACTTGTCTAATCATATCTTATTTAGGTACCTTGGTCCTAACACTGGCAATATGCACATTGTGGCAGACCTGTATGCAGAAGTCATTGGAGTGTTGGCACAAGCTAAGTAAGTGAACATCAGTCCTTTACAGTAAGAACTCAAATGCCTCTTCTATTACAGCCCAGCCCTGCTCTCAGGAAGGGATTTTGTGTGAGCTTGCAGAGAACTAGGGTCCTTTTAGCTTTGGGTGCCATGTCTGTGAAATGGACTAAAAGCTCCCTCGATGCAAGTACTGAGTCTGTTTTCAATTGTTTTCTCCATAATCTTTTTTACATGGCAGTTGAGCCAGGTTCCATCAGGAGTCCATGAGTTTTTCAGACTACGACATCAAAGAAAGAAATGGACTAACCACATTACTTTTCTCTCTGCCCAAATATTCCAAACAAGTTTACCGGTTTTAGAAGTTTTGTTTTCTATATTCCATGAGTGGGCAGTTACAATATAAATCATCTGTGAATGGGAAAATTCCATTCTAGAATGTCCCTTTACTATAGACCTTATTTAATTCAGCTGAGCTAAAAATGTCCCAGACTCTGTCATGGAAACAAGTTGGGGGAAAATTCTCATTGCTAAATTTATCTGGCCCATAACACTACTTAGCAGGCTAGAACAAAGTGGTATTAGACTATTAGCAATAATATACTTCTTCCAAAAGTGATGTCACATCTTATTCACCCATCTTCATCTTATTCCACCCTGAGGCAAATCAGACAAAATCCTCAATGCCTAGGTTAGGAAAAATGAGCCAGAGACAAAATATGAATCCAGGCCAAGAGGTGAACTTAAAGTAACAGTGATGCCCTGATGCTTGTGCAATGCAGTCCTCAGAAAGTCCTCCAAGAGATGAAATTTCCTAACTTAGTAGCATGCATGGAAATATCCAGTTTATCAAAAAAAACCCAAAATTTTGTAAAAAGTACTTACTCAGCAACATCACCTAGCCAAAACAGACAAGAACTCAGGAAAACAGACCCCCAAAACTCTTCCATGTGACTTATTTACCCCAAGCAGGTTTATCTATTCATATCAATTAGGTATTTTTCTTCTAACACATAAAACATCAGTGTTAGATGGGAGAGAGGTAGATACACTGATGCCAGTGAGAAATCTCAAGCTCAAAGACTGGCAGCAACAGAGACGAAAGAGGTAGCCAAAGCATACATAAGAACTAAATAGTAGTGCTATCTGAGCCATTTGCATGAGATTGTATTGCACTTTTATTGCAGCCCATTGTCATAACTGGGGTTCCTGGGTCATCTACCAAAAAAAAACAAAGCCCAATACATCTTTTTCTATTGCAATTGAATGATAAAAGTATTGGCATTTTGAAGGGAGAAGCTCCAGTTACCTAGCAAGCTGATGTGTGTCTTACCCCATTCCTAGAAAAGATAAGAAAAATGAGTTTTGATATGTATTTGGCTGATTTGTGTCAAATCCTGAAAATCTGGACATATTCCAATGTAATTCCTTCTGTAATTTTCCCTTCTGTAATTCTCTTATACTATCATTTGGAAAATTTAATTTGCCAAAAATGGCCTTTTGTGTTTTTTTGTTTTGGTTTGGTTTTAGTTTTTGTGAATTATGCCTAACAATATCGATTACTGTAGAATGACCTTCCTTAGCAATACTGATTTTGAGTTGGCTGTGAATGAATTGAAAAACAATGTCATAACTAAGCAACATTCTAAGGTTATAGGAATCTCTGTATTAGGCTAGATTTATATGATCCACTAAGCTAGTGTTTTCCTGCCAACCATGGCTTATTTTAATTTCCATGATGTCAGTATTTGTCCCAATTCTGCAATAGTCGGGTATATGAAATGTCTCAATTTGGACGATACTCCAGTACTTTCCAGTCATAAGAGAACCCCTTGGTCAGTCCTCTTACAATAACTGCAGTAAAGTATAGTAATCACAATGATATTCTTAACCAGTCAAGTTATAGATAATCTTTACTGATAGATAGTACAATCTTTTTTTTTTTAATTTTTATTTTTTTTATTTACGATAGTCATACAGAGAGAGAGAGAGAGGCAGAGACACAGGTAGAGGGAGAAGCAGGCTCCATGCATCGGGAGCCCGACGTGGGATTCGATCCCGGGTCTCCAGGATCACGCCCTGGGCCAAAGGCAGGCGCCAAACCGCTGCGCCACCCAGGGATCCCTAGATAGTACAATCTTAAACTGGTATCATAATCCAGATTATCACCTTGCTTCCTTTTCATGAATATGCCAGGAACATTACTTTGTCATTGCCTTAGAAAAGTAGTGTTTCCTTTGTTCTCAGGCGGGGAAAGGATGTATGCTTATCTAGTACAGGGTGGTTATCTTTTTTTTTTTTTTAATGAAGAAGTAATGTAACAATTCTAATTTTAGACTTTACATCTAGCTCCCAGTAGTAATGCATATGAAATATTTTCTTCATTATGATTTTAGTTATTAACTCATAGTTTCAGTCTTTAAGTTTCAGCAAAATCACTATTTTTTATTTTACTAGCAATAATGTAATCTCTTCCTCCCATCCTTTATCATCACTGATTAAAGACTCAGCCTTTACCCGAACTCAAATGCCCAGAAATCTCTAATTTTCTAGCTGAAAAGAGCCTTTTAATTCTCCTATGCCCTACAGCCTCTTTAAGTGTATAATTCCCATAAAAGGCAATGTAAAATATGTGAAAGTGATTGGGCCTGACCATTCCACCTCCTGGAAAAATCAGCGAGATCTGAGCAAAGGGTCAGGCACTTGAGAACACAACTCACAAATAATAATAATAATAATTATTATTATTATTATTATTATTTGCATGGTTCATGGTCATTTCTGCATTGTTTTATCTTCCCAAACTGTGCAGTCTTCTTAGGGAAGTGACTTTATTTCATAACTCATGATAAACAATAATAATTATTGTTATTATTAGTTGCATGGTTCATGGTCGATTCTACATTGTTTTATCTTCCCAAACTGTACACTGTTCTTAGGGCAGTGAGTTTATTTCATAGTTCATGACAATGTAAGGAGCTGGAGTATAGTGGAAATTCCAGGTTTGAGTCTTTTTTTTGGGGGGGGGGTGAGTCTTCCTTGTCATGTTGATCTTCCAAATTTGTTTCTTCTTTTGTAAAATGGAAATGCATTCACTGCCTGAATCAGTGCATTTTTGTGAAGGTAAAAATGTAAAAAGAATATAATGTACATAAAATAGAAAACATCTTATAAATATACCTTATTGTTATTCCTAGTCCAGAGCAGGACTTCATAAACTTCAGCACATCTGAATCACCTCTAGGGTGGTTAAACAAGATTACTGGAACTCACCCCCAGAGTTTCTATTTGGTAGGTGTGGTGTAGGCCAATAATGAGAGTTTCTCACAAGTTCTCATGCAACGCTGATGCAGCTAATCTGGAGGCAACAGTTTGAGAAACCACTGGTCCAGACATAACATAGCACAGAGATTAAGCGTAGGGACTCTAGAGCCAGACATTTGACTTGAAATTCTGGCTCCTCCACTTACCAGCTGTGTGACTTTATCACATTAAGAAGTCTCAGCCTCAAGTTCCTTTTCTGTAAAAAGGGTATAATAATAGTACCTTGCTCAAGTTGTAAGGATTAAATGATCATGAAGATGAAATGTAGGGTTCAGTGAACTTTGCTTGGCATATTATAGGTGCTGGATATCTGCTTGTAGCTGTCATCATGACCGTCTTCAGCATCAGATTATTTCCTACTCCATAAGAAGTAGAAAAGAAAGATGACACTGGAATTTGGATTTTATATTTTCTGCCCCAATGCCTTCTTAGAAACCTCTCTTATTGTAAAATATATGTAACAAACATGAAGAAAAATCTGTACATTGGTTTAGAAAAATATGGTTTTGACAAATTATTACCAGATGAGCACCATGTAATCTCCTGCACCTGAGCCAAGAACAAGAAAATGGCCAGCTGTCATCAAGTCTCTGAAACCAACTTGCCAATCATTCTCCTCTTGTACTTCCTTTGCTAAATAATATCTTCATGTTTACTGTCTACGCTATTTGTCCTAAAGTGTCTACCTTGAGCTGTCAAGAGTTGTTATTTCAACCTTCCAGGATTCTGTTAGTTGGCCTTTAATTTTTATAACCATAATAATGCTCTTTAATCATGCCTTGCTTCTAATTGACCTTTTCACATATTTAGAGCCTCAGGGTGATAGTCTCAGGAAGCAAAACACAATGAGTTTTAGAATGCTTTCCTTTTTCTTTTAACCAGCCATTTCAGAAATAGTTGGGATCACTTTTATGTAAATGTTCCTCTGCCTTGGGTACTTTGCAGATTTGCTACTATTTCCATCCTCTTAGGATCTATTTTTTTTAAGATTTTATTTATTTATTCATGATAGAGAGAGAGAGAGAGAGAGAGGCAGAGACACAGGCAGAGGGAGAAGCAGGCTCCATGCCGGGAGCCCGACGCGGGACTCGATCCTGGGACTTCAGGATCGCGCCCTGTGCCAAAGGCAGATGCTAAACCGCTGAACCACCCAGGGATCCCCGGATCTATTCTTTTTTAATAATCTTATATAATAATGTTATGATTAATATTATTAATTAATATTTTACTTTAAACAATATGGATGCCTTAAATTCCTTGTGGACTGTGTCTTTTTAGTTGTAACGTCCCATGCATGTAGAAGAAGCTTATTCATCTTTTAGATTTGATTTTAATTTTTTCTTAGTAGATTTTCCTACACCTAAAAACATTTTTTTCAATGATCATTAACCTAAAACTATAAAAGAAACAACAGAAAACTTTGGAAATGGATTAGGAACATTTCTTGGCAGTATTTGCTGTCATTGTCAGAAATAGCTGGCCTGTGATATTGCTCAGAGGCTTATAATTAGAGATCCTTCAGGCTCTTGGGGTCTACAAGTGTGTTGGAAATTGCTAAGCCTGAGGAAATGGAGAATTTTGTCCTGCTCAATTTAAGAACTGGGGCATTTTGAGAGGATCTGAATAACCCTAGATCTTCTCCCTGCCTGAAGGAAATATTGAACATCTTAGAGAATAAGAGAAGAAAGGAGAAGATGGTATTCTTTACCAAATCCCCAATATCAAATCCTTACAAAATGGCAACCATGTACTTCAACTGATACAAAGGATGCCGGTCACTGTGCCCTGGCACTCCTAGATGCTGGAGGCCTCTGTTATGGTCACTTCCATAGCCATTATTTGATAAACCACTCCTGTTCTCTTCTTAGATTCCCTGCTGTAAAGAAGAAATTTATGGCAGAACTCAAAGAATTACGGTACAAAGAGCAGAGCCCATATGTTGTTCAAAGCATTATCAGCTTGATAATGGGGATGAAATTCTTTCGAATTAAGATGTATCCAGTGGAGGACTTTGAGGCCTCTCTTCAGTTTATGCAGGTAGGTAATACCTTGGGCAGGAGAACCAAGGGGCTATCATTCTGAACACCTCCTGTCATCAGAATAACTGACTTGGAATGTGAAAGCACATTCACTGGTCAGTGTGGGAGAAGTCCTACTTTTTCCTCAGAAATTCATAACGTGCTTTATAAGCAAGTAATAGAGCTGCAGGCAGATAATTTCACTTTTCAGCTTTCATATCACTTTTGAGGTAGGGTATATAGTGAAATGTCTTATTTGTTGACGTTTTTTTCCTCTTTCTACTCATCAGCTGCATATTGATCTATGAATAAAATATAGCTGACTTTCTACTTTTTATAATTGATAGCATCACGGTGGCTATTAACATTCATAGCATCAGAACTTTAAATAATGAAGATTTTTTATTCTCACTATAAAAGAGAATCAGTGTTTAAAAAATCTACCAAACCATACAGGTTTAGGTGTCAGTGATGCAGTGTTCCTCATATTATGTACTAACAAAAGAATTGTTGCTAATGTGGATTTTGCAGAGCACCTGGCTCTGTTAGAATTTATAGAGCTTTCTCTAATGCTTCCATGAACTAGATTAAGTGAGGGTCTTTATCAATGAAGAGCTTAGACATGGGGATTGTGTGCATAGGCTGTACCACTTCATACGCACTAAAACGGCTATAATAAAAAAGATAACAGCAAGTGTGGATGTAGAGAAATTGGAACCCTCGTATACTGCTGATGGGAATAGAAAATGGCATAACAACTTTGGAAAATAGTTTGTCAGTTCCTCAATGGTTAAATCTAGAATTGGTATGTAATCAGCAATTCTACTTCTAGGTATATATCCAAGAGAAATGAAAATATACATTCACACAAAAACTTGAATGCAGATGTTCATAGCAGTATTATTTGTAATAACACAAAAGTGAATACAGCCCAAATGTTGATCAACCAATGAACAAATAAACAAAGTGTGGTATATCCATATAAGGGAATATTATTTGGCCATATAAAGGAATGGAGTACTGATATACACTATAACATGAATGTACCTTGAAAATACTATGCTAAGTAAAAGAAGTCAGACACAAAAGGCCACATATTTTATGATTGCATTTATATTGAATATCTCAAATAGGCAAATCCTTAAAGACAGGAAGTGATTGTGTAGGGCTTGGAGGCAGGGAGAGTGGATAGAGAGGTTGGAAATGACTGCTAAACAGTACAGAGTTTCTTTGGAGGATAATGAAAAGGTTCTAAATTTGATTATGGTGATAAATGTACAATTGTGAATATACTAAAAGCCATTGAATTGTACACTTTGAGTGAATTGCATATATCTCAGTGAAGCTGTTTAAAAAAAAAGATGTATCACACTTTTCGGGTTTAAATTCAAGCTTCAGCACTGGGACCTTGGGAAAGTCACCCTTAACCCCTCCCAGCCTCACTTACCTTTGTGCAAAGTAGTGATAATGGCACTAGCTTTAGAAGGTGGCTCTGAGGATTCTTGGCACATGGTAAGCACTTAGTAACTGTTAATTATTTTTATCCTCTCATATGAATAATTCATGTATCCATGTATTTGAATGATGATTTGAAAGAATATTTACACACATATACAAAATAATGTATGAAAAGGACTGCAATTCTAGGAGCCATGAAGCACCATTTTGTATTAGGGAAGCCATCTCAGTGACTTTCCATGTTGGCAATGCCCTTCTTAGTATAGAATCAGTAGACTAGGAATTTTAGTGACTTTTGTTGGCACAGGTCCCAGGATTGACTGAAAGTAAGTATAATAGCTAATATAGATACTAAGATATTGCCACAAATACATGGAGCCTTGGACCCTTCCATGAAAACAATACCTAAAAAAGAGCACAGTATTTTACTACCAAAAAGGCCAGGAAGGAGAAAGGGGCTGGTGGAATTCTAAACATTAAAATTCTAAATTTACTTACAAATGATTTTCTGGGCCACCAAAAATACCCTTTCATAGATAGTAGTCCCCAGCCAAAGATATCCTTGCTTGAGGAACTGTTCTAAAGGTTTCTTGCTTTAGGTGGGGGAGGAAAACATTCCAGACTTGCTTATGAAACTATCTGAATAATAAACACACCTAAAATGTCAGAGCTAAAAAGTAAACAGCTCTGTGCCTGGGGCTGACACAGGGCCCAAAATAAGTTTAATATCTTCTGCCTCTCTTCCCATGTTTACCTTCTCTGGGGATCTGTGTTTGTGGATTAATCAAGGACCAGGGCTCCACGCACAGTAGGTGGTCAATAGAAATTTGTCAGCAATGAATGTCTGAATGGATCAATCAATAAGTCAGTGGATGAATATCTGCTTGCTAGTTGTAGATGCTTTCTCCTTTTGGCACAATTATTTGAGATAGAACGAGGAGAGTGAGAAAACCAGTTTTGCAAAATGTCATTGAGGCCATTTTGTTTGTTTATTTGTTTGTTTTGAGGCCATTTTGAATTTAAGTATAAATGCTAGAATCCAGTGATTTTCTTTAATGGATTATGGAATATTCTATGTTGGTGTGTATGATTGAATTAATAGCTGCTTCCTTTAATTTGTTTTAGTACATTTTCTGGGCACATTTCAATCTGTTCTCCCTCCTTTATGCTTTTTTCTGCTTCCTAGGAATGTGCACATTATTTCCTCGAGGTCAAAGACAAAGATATCAAGCATGCCTTGGCTGGGCTTTTTGTTGAAATTCTCGTCCCAGTTGCTGCTGTGAGTTATGTTTTTAAGAACTTCTTCAAATTGGATTAGAGAATCACCAATTTCATTAATTTGACATCAACATGTGTCTCTATTTTTTTAGGCTGTTAAAAATGAAGTAAATGTTCCCTGCCTTAGAAACTTTGTTGAAAGCCTATATGACACCACACTGGAACTTTCTTCTCGAAAGAAGCATTCGTTGGTTAGTAACTCTGAGAAAATCCAAAACACAAAACTATAGAGGATAAAATCCTTAGGCTGAAATCTATTTGAGAGTCATAAGGGTCCCTCAAATGGGAGGATTACCTGCAGCTCTCGCCCAAAAAAGGAAGTGTTTCAAAATTTGGAGCTTGCACTTAACGTTGACCATAACTGGATCACGATAATATAAGGGGATTAGACCATGTCATCTCAGATGACCCTTCTCATCCTAAGATTCTGTTCTTTATTTTCAAGACTGGATTAACTTGATTTTTGTTTTGAGTATTTTTTCCAATCTAAAAGTCAAAGTTTATAATAATAGTTTATCTTTTCGATCCCCAGAAGTCTTCACTGGTTCATTCCTATCCTTATGTTCTAAATCAAAATGGAAGCAGGCAGCAAAGGGAGTTGAGAGAGAGACAAGTCTTTTAAACTATCACAACCTTTTGCCCTTAGTGGTAAATAAGGCTCTGGTTTATTAATCGACATGACATATGAGCTATTCTTGTGATAGTATAGAGGAAGCAGGTTACTTAGCTGGCACAGTTTATGCCAGTCTTCAAAATATGAGCATAGCCACCATTATTTGAGCTATTATTGAGAGTTGCTTTGCTGGCAGTGGTGACAGATATGCTTATTTTCTACTTCTATGGTCAGTCATTGTGACTAACCACTAGAATTTTTTTTTTTTTAGATGACTGCCTAGAATTAGAGTTACACTCAATGGTAGCATAGTTCAAAGTCAGTTTAAAACCAAGTGAATAAAAAAAATTAAGTTAGTGGATTGTTAAGCACTGAATCTCATTGTGGCAATAATCTTTTGCTAATTCAGCTTAATGGATGAGCCAGTTTTATTTTTGTTTGAATCTTCACTAGCCCTAATTTTTTAGATACCATAAAGGTATATGCTATCTGGTTCAGTAGAATGGCAATGGGTTCTGCATATATATTTTTTGGGTGGCCACTCATCAGCTTTTCTATCTTCTTCAGCTACTGTGGGAAATCAGCCCAGTTAGGCAGGAAAAGCACAGTAGCACCTCTGTTTATTCACTCGTAAGCAAATTCCTCCTGTGGTTAAATTTGTCTTGGTGGAGTTTACCAATGCAATAACATTCTTTTAGGAATCTTTCTTAATTACAGGAAGATTGCATGCGAAAGAAAATATATACACCTACCTCCAAAACAAGGACAAGCTAGTAGATGTTTATGAGCAAAAACCCCAATAACATCTTTAAAATTAGTATGCCTTCCTACTTTCTTTCTTTCTGAGAGTGATCTTAAGATAATGAGTTTGTTTTTAAAATTCAAAAGTGAAGATTCTAAATCAGTGAATCAGGTTTCCACTTATTATACATGAAACTTATTATACACTTTATAATTCTAGATAATTCCACCCCCATCATCATCAGAAAGCATTTGCAAAATGCCTACCTCTGCATGGCCCCCACTGAGCCTTGTGTTATAAAGCGTCCTGTTTATTTTGGCCTACAGAGGGAGATGGATAGGTAGCAATTCCAGAGAGCATGTGTTACCTGGTTTGTTGAAATATAAATCATCTTGTGACCTCATCTTCTTTCTCCTCAGGCCCTGTACCCACTGGTGACCTGTCTTCTTTGTGTCAGTCAAAAGCAGCTGTTCCTGAACAGGTGGCATATTTTCCTCAACAACTGCTTATCCAACCTTAAAGTTAGTATTTGTCAGTTCAAAAAAGTCTTTTATAAACTAAATATGTGTCCAAGACTGACATATGTGCTTCTGAGAGTGATTCATGATGTTTACAGGGTAATTATCTGATACTCTTGAGATAATGAAAAAAATATTGAGTTCTCCTTATTAAATATAGTCAATTTTATGTTATGTTATTTATTTATTGAGGGAGAGTGAGAGAGTTTGGGGTGAGGGAGGGGCACAGGGAGAGAGGGACAGAGTTTGGGGTGAGAGAGGAGCACAGGGAGAGAGGGAGAGAGAATCTCAAGCAGACTCCCTACTGAGCACAGAGCCCAACGTGGGACTTGATCCTGTGACCCTGAGATCATGAGCTGAGCCGAAATGAAGAGTCAGACACTTAACCAACTGAGCTATCCAAGCACCCCCAAATATAGTCAATCTTAGAAGATGACTAGGGATTGGAGAAATCACTCCAAATTTGGGAAATCTTTCCTAATTAGGATCACTTTAAGGGTAAAATTAAATACCCTTGTATATGTATTAATTGTCACATTGTATCTAAATGATTTTTTTAAAGGTGGGGGGAGACCCACTTCATTGGCAGAACCAAGTGAATTGATTTCAGAAGCTCACCTGTACTTCCTGCATCCTTCCTCTGCCCCCCGCCCCCCATCTAGGAAAATATTTGAGGGAAGAAGTTCCTTTCTGTGGGAGGATTGACCCCAATCACAAAGAATACTTATTTCCTGTCAGTGTTCTTTGTAATTATTTGAAGGTATTCTCTTCAAGCCACGTGACAGTCATCAGCCCTAGGCATCCATTGAACAAGCACTGTGCAGATAGACAGCACAGGTGCTGAGTCGTGAGACAGATGAAGTAATCTTTCCTAAAACTGAGGAACCTACAGTTAAAACTACCATAATGATTAGCTTTAAAATTGGCTTTATAACTTTTAAGTGGTAAACATATTTTAAGTTTTAGTGACCTATTGATAAAAGACAACTAAATAAATCAACCCTAATGTAAGTGCAAGCAGTGTACATTTTCCAGTTGTTTCCAGTTGTGTCTTGATGTTCTTCTATGAGTTTGATATTTACTGCTTTAGAATTTTTGAAATATACATAATTATCCAATCCTGTATGTGCTTATACATGTTGCCTTATCTTTTCTGTTCTAAGACACTTTAATTTAGTGAGTGGTTAAGATTAATTATATTATTTTGGCATTTACCATAATTATATAGTAATCTACATTAGAGCTGTTTTAAGCACTGATTGTGAAATCCAAGATTAGAATCATTGATTTTCTTCAAATTGGCAATGAAATATAATAGCAATGGATATAGAATTAAGCTTTTAAGTGTTCTGAAAAACAAAAAGCTTTTTAGAGTTATCAACGATTATATAATAACCAGTCTCAGAGATTTTACTTAGGGATTTATGCATACATCTCTAACACACAGCTCAATGTCATTTTGTTGTTTGGCCCACTTTTAACTTACTCAGTTCTAGTTGAAAATATATTTGTTCATTTACATTTCACACAGGTAGAAGTGGTCATTTTGCCCAAAACAAAGAAGAGAATTAATTAAGAATGTTTACAGTGCATTGTCCTGTATATATTATGATCAGTATGTTTATGATGAATTTTAGTTAGAATTAAAATAATACTTTGCATGACGATTTATTGTTGTGGCCAAAAAACCAATTTTTTTTGTTTAAAGTATGAGCTTTTGAAACATAGTGGCATAATCTTACTTTGGAATATTATTGCTTCAAAGTTAAAATATTGGTCTTTAATCAAAACCCACCAAAAAAGACTTAATAACAGGGTTATAAATGGCCCAGTGAGAAGTGGGGCTACAAGCTGATAGTATATCACTATGCAAACATTCAGCATTAGGATTTCTATGAGAATGGCCATGGTGAGATCAGAAAGAGTGTATAGAGTTGATAGTAGAGGCTGAACCAAATTCCAGAATTCCACTGAAGTCACCCAGTAGGTATGAAGTGCCCACTGCGTAAGGTGCTAGGGAAGGTGCTGGAAGTGGGACACATAGGGGAAGTTAACTATATTAAAACTAGCTATAGAATAGAGTCTCTGTCCTTGAGGAGTTTAGCATTTCATTGGGGGATATGTAACAAAATTTCAAAATGTATGCTAGAGAGAGTGAGGGATATAAAAGTTGAGAGTAGAGTGATACCTGTGCCATTTATGGAAGTTAGAGACCCCATGAAGCATGAAAGAAATAGTTATGAGGCCAAGTTAAGTCAATGATATTTTACTTTATGGGTAATGAATTGTTGGAATTCACCACCCCAAGGCTAAAAGATATAAAAAGATCCTTGATGAGTTACAAGTGGAATAAAATGGTATTACATATATTTAGAACTAAATCCAGTAGCAGTTAAGTGAGGCCATTTTAGGGGTGTCTGGGTGGCTAAGTCGGTTAAGTTTCCAACTCTTGATTTCTGCTAGGGTTGTGGGATTGAGCCCTGCCTCCTCAGGCTTCATACTCAGCAGGGAGTCTTCTTGCAATTCTCTATTTCCCTCTCCCTCTACCCTGACCCTCCTTGCACTCTCTCTCTTTCTTTCTCTCCAAAATAAGTGAATAAATCTTTTTTTTTAAATGAGATTATTTTAAAATGTCATAAATAAACCTTCCAAACCTCCTTATGAATAGTCTGTGAGGAAAAACTGACATGGCTTCAAAAGTGTACTTTGTCTTGAATAGTGTCAGTATTTTATGGGAGTTAGAGCCAACTGTAATATTTCATAAAGACCAGCAGACCAACTCTTCCCCCTGTTTGCCTTTCCCCTTTTCCCTTCCAGCACCCTTATCCTCCTTGTCTCTCACTCCCCTACACATGCTTAAGTATAATGAACCTAGTGTTTGAACTCTACATGTTGAGCTTGGTAGCCATGTTTGATGTGTTCTACAAAGGTGAGTCATCAAGGCGGCAGCATGACATATAGCAGAATAGAAGTGTGTGTGAAAGTAAAAAATCTGCTGCTTTCAAAGTAAACCTCTCAGGTCAATGCTCATTTAACGTTAGTGCCCTAGTTTATCTTCAGAGTCAGTCTGGGAGGCAGGCTGCTTTGGTAACACAAACTTGCAGTCTTTATTTACACTTAGTTAAGTGATCAACCATATATTAGTAATATAATCTTGTAAAGTGATGGGGGGGAATTTATGGCAACTTCTTACTACAACACTGATATCTTTCAAGAACTCTTGCTTAGTGGTAACCAGTATTTTTTTCTTCTATATATTTTATGTCAGAATCTGAACATATTGAGCAATTAAGAATTGATACATTCCTTTTACATCTGCCATAATATACCTAATTCCAAAAAAAGAAAATGTTTTAAAACTTGATTTAATAGTATTTATTTATTTGTTAATCTCCATTTATTAATAGTTCTATTAATATGTAGTATATATTAAGCATTCATAATAACTATGTGCTAGTTTCTCATCCTTCAAAATGGATATAATTGGAACAATTTTTAACTTTTTAAATTTTATAATAGTGAATATAATATACCAGAAATCCAGATTATAAAAAAACAAAACAAAGCCATAAAAGAAAACTTAAAAGTTAAAAAATGTGTTTACTATGTATTAATAACAACAATAGTTCTCAGTAATTGAAGATCTGTTATGAGCCAAACCAATAGCAGGAGTTTACATATCTTGTCATGGATCATCATGACAATGTCATAAGCTCCATTGAACTCTCTTCATGCTTTCTCATGGATATTATTTATGCTTTGTTAAATATTTTGCCCCAATAGCAATACTTTATCTGAAGGCTAGGCAATACAGAATTAAAAATGATTCTCCTTTTATCTCAGTCACTTCTTGTACTAGGACTCGAATGCATTTATTTATCCAGTCAGTCAGTTGGTCAACAATTTCTTACAGGAAGTGTTTACCAGTAACTCTCCTAGGTGCTGGGAGTACGTGATGAATAAGACAGTAGCACTCTCCAACCTCTTAGACCTTGTAACTTAGTGGGGGAGACAGACAATAAGGAAGTAAGTGAATAGTTAAGAAGAAAAATTCAGATAGTGATAACTGCTGTAAATAAAATGAAGTAGGCTATGTTAACAGAGAATGATACTATTCAGGAGGAGCAAGGAAGAGAGGGTGCAAAGAAGGTCTTTTGATTTCCATTAAGAATATCAAAAATGGTGTGGTTGCCATAAATATATTTGTTGAAGCTTGTCTTTAGCACATAATATATATTTGTATGTAATAATCACAATAAAGTTTAAGTAGTACTTTTTTTAAGACTTTTCATATAATAGTAAGGTAATGATATTTTTATCTCAGTAGAGATTGAGTAATATATTAAGGATTCCACAGTCATTGATTGGTAGAATGCACTAAAATGTATGGCACCATTTATTTTAAAACAACTACTCTTCTCTTTGTAAGTATCAAAATCAAATGACATATTATTGGCTGTTTTAAGTAATTTTCTAGAAGCAATTGTTCTGCTTTACTATTAACCTCATTTCTATAAACTTAAGAAAATCTCTTTTCATCTGTTTCAGATGTGTCCAAGACATATTTCAAAGTGGGATTTATAAATTCTAAAAGCGCACATGAACCAGGTTTAAAAATTAGGAATCAGCTGACAAGGCCCTTACTTTCCATGAGTGCCTTATTTATTCAGACATTGAAGAGAAAATAATATGTATAAATTGTTGGTCTAGTAGCATTAGAAGTTATCCTGAACCTAATGTTCCTTGCACATATGTTCTTTGGGTAATATGGTCTAGTTGATGTGGAAGAGAGACCTAGAAGGTATTTGAGTATAACAAGATGAAAAGATGACTAAAATTGTTTAGCAATCTCTGTCAGTAGAGCTTTACCTTAACAATGTATCAGAATATCCAAAGAAGCCTGTTTCAAATGCAACTTCGCAAAAACTTACCTCCAGAGGTTCTGATTTCAAATGTCCAAGTGCAGTTAAGGAATCTGCATGTTCATAAGAAACCCATGTGAC